TCTCTTTCTTCCCTTTTTTTTTTTCCTTGAGACAGAGTTTCGCTCTTGTTGCCCAGGCTGGAGTGCAATGGCATGATCTTGACTTACCGAAACCTCTGCCTCCCAGGTTCAAGCGATTCTCCTACCTCAGCCTCCTGAGTAGCTGGGATTACAGGCACCCGCCACCACACCTGGCTAATTTTTTGTATTTTTAGTAGAGACGGGGTTTCACCATGTTGGCCAGGCTGGTCTCGAACTCCTGACCTCAGGTGATCCACCTGCCTCGGCCTCCCAAAGTGCTGGGATTACAGGCGGGAGCCACCACACCCGGCCTAGTGGACTCTCTAGACCAAATATTGGAACCACTTATTTTATTGTCCTGAAATAGAATCCATAAATAGCATGACCACCACACATCCCTGTAAATCCCCAAGCCTGACCAAAATAGAAGATGTCAGTAAGAAGTCAGATGTGTGGCTTGCATGTAAAATCCCTGTGAACAGGACCGGTACACGCACACGCTGAACCCCATGTGCTGCTTCGGCAACTCAGATCCTATGGGCAGTGCTGTCATTGGTGAGGCAATTTTCAGAAATGGTAAGCAGCTCAGCCGAGCGCAGTGGCTCACACCTGTAATCCCAGCACTTTGGGAGGCTGCAGGGGGTGGATCACCTGAGGTCAGGAGTTCGATACCAGCCTGGCCAACATGGTGAAACCCTGTCTCTACTAAAAAAACACAAAAATTATCCAGGCATGGTGGCAGGCACCTGTAATCCCAGCTCCTCAGAAGGCTGAGGCAGGAGAATGGCTTGAACCTGGGAGGCAGAGGCTGCAGTGAGCCAAGATCGTGCCATTGCACTCCAGCCTGGGGGACAAGAGTGAGACTCCATCTCAAAAAAAAAAAAAATGTTAAGCAACTCTTAGTCAAGTTTCTGCAAAACAGAGTACAAGATTTCAATTTATATGACAGTTACACAACTGGGAAATTCTGTATTAAAAGCATAGGGAAATAATTTGTATTATATACAAAATAGAGTTCAAGTCTAGCATTAGATTATTATCAACAGGTTTTTCACCTACATAAATGACCAACAAGACACTCAAAACCAGCACAGGCTGGGAGAGAAGTTTTCATCATGAGGGAAAACCTCACACCTTGCAAGATGAATCAGAAATCCTGTCTCCCACCAACTATCTGCCAGGTGTGTCTCCATTGGCTGTGATTACTAAGAAATGCCCACAGATTTGCAAAACACCCTGGGAGCAGAGGTGCCCTCATTAAGCATCACTGCACAAATATTTTTCTTAAAATAGAATGCCCTGACCCAAACACTATACTTCCAATTGAGAGCGATAGAAGGAATTTGAGGTAGAACATCTTGGAAATAATAAGTTGGCTTTATCTCAAGTGCCACTGATCTGTAGAAGCTGACTGAAGTGTGTGTTGAGAGGTGTCTAGAAACTGCCTTTGGAATTGCCACCATCTATCAACCATGCCATAGTGAGCACAGAGGAGGGAAGTGTGGCCTGCATGCCACCATGTTTGCCAGCCCAGAAATGTTAACTCTCTTACTCTAGACATCTTTGGCCTATGTCTGCAGCTGAAGATTGAAATCACTTTTTGGCAGGGAAAAAAAAATGCAATCGACTCATGTCAAGCTCCACTTTCCCACATTTGGCAAAACATTTCAGAAGTTAGAGCAAAGAGGAAAACATCAGGTTCAAATATTCAAAACCATACATATTTCATGGAACAAGAGGAACTCTCTGTGACAGAGAAATTAAAAAATAGAACTGCTGAGCAGATATATAAAGTATGGTTTCTGTCAGGGAGAGTCTGGAAGAATTCACACAGCAGCAGCTCCAAAATTCAGGGATAGAGTAGAATTCTTGCATCAAACTTTTTCTTCCACAGCCTGCCCCCTGGTGGAGATGTTAATAAGCAGGAGACACATAGGATTGAATTTAACGAAGAAAAGGGGAAAATAAAGCCACTGCCCCAAGACCTTCTGAGGCAATGGAGAAAAGAAGTTTTGGCTGCTGCTCTGGTGATGATGATGGTGGTAATGACGATGGTGATGGTGGTGGTGCTGGTGGAGGTAGTGAAAGGTGATAATAGTGGTTGGTATGATTTCGCTTTGTGTCCCAACCCAAATCTCCTCTTGAATTATAGTTCCCATAATCCCCACATGTCATGGGAGGGACCCGGTGGGAGGTTATTGAATCATAAAGGCAGTTACCCCCATGCTGCTGTTCTCGTGATAATGAGTGAGTTCTCACGAGAGCTGATGGTTTTACAAGGGGCTTTTCCCCCTTTGCTCAGCACTTCTCCTTCCTGCCACTATGTGTTTGCTTCCCCTTCTGCCATGATTGTAAGTTTCCTGAGGTCTCCCAAGCCATGCTGAACTATGAGTCAATTAAACCTCTTTCCTTTATAAATTGCCCAGTCTCAGGTGTGTCTTAATTAGCACCAGAGAACGGACTTATACGGTGGTGGTGGTGGTGTAGTCATATTTTGCCTGGATTCTTTTCCCCAACATTCTTTTTTTTTCAGACAGAGTTTCACTCTGTTGCCCAGGCTGGAGTGCAATGGTGCAATCTCTGCCCACTGCAACCTCCTCCTCCTGGGTTCAAGCGATTCTCCTGCCTCAGCCTCCCAAGTAGCTGAGATTACAACTGCCTGCCAGCATACCTGGCTAATTTTTTGGATTTTTTGGTAGAGACAGGGTTTCACCATGTTGGCCAGGTGCTGGTCTCGAACCCCTGACCTTGGGTAATCTTCCTGCCTTACTCTCCCGAAGTGCTGGGATTACAGACGTGAGCCACCACACCCCGTGTTTTCCCCCAACATCCTAAAGTCACCGATTCTCTGAGTGGAGAAGGAACACTAACAGGTTGTGGCTATCTCTGTTATAACACGTGTTATTGCTTGTTTTTTGAAAGCATTTTCTGTATTCTTTTCTTGTATTCGTAATCCCAAGGAGGTATGGTATACCACCTCAATTATCTCATTGGTGAAATTATGTCAGTAGCTGGAATGTGAAGGTAAATGTTTTATTAAGGACATGATGTGGTTGGTGTGTGATACCAACTACTGGGAAATGAGTAGAGAGTTCAGGTAGGGTGAATGAAGAAAGAGAGACTGGATCACTGCTTTAGATTGCAGAGCAAGGGAGAACCTATCTGAGGAGGTGACATTTAAGCTAAGAATGGGATGCATCAGCAATGAAAAGAAGAGGAATCCATGCCTACTGTGACCACAGCTTGGACAGAGGGGCTGGAGTGGCTCAGAGGCAGGAGCATGGCGGGAGATGAGTCTGCAAATGCAGGACAGGGCTTGACCAGATGGGACCTTCTAAGCCAAGGAGAGGATCTTGGTTTTTATTTTAAGTGCAGTGGAGAAGACTTGGGAGGGTTTTAAGCAAGGGAGTGGCATGATGTGATTTGTTTTGAAAGAACACCCTGCTGCGTTTGAGGAAGGGATTGGCGGAGGAAGAGAACCATCAGGAGGTTCTTGGCAGGAGTCCAGATGAGCAACCGTGGAGGCTTGTGCTAGCTAGAAGCATAGAGGACAGAGAGAGGGGGAAGAGTTGAGATGTGCCTCAGAATGCAAGTGGGCAAGTCTTACTCTGGATTTAGCAGAATGAGAAAAATGGCAGAATTAAAAATTTAATGTGTGTCCTGAGCAGTCGGGTGCCACTGACCGAGATGGGGAAGACTGAGGATGGAGTAACTGATTGTTTTTCTTTTTGAGGTGGGGTAGGGAATAGATCAAGAGTTCAGCTTCAGCTCCATTAATTTTGAGGCGCCTGTTAGGCATTAGGAAGGGATTCCAAGCAGAACATTATAGATGCAGCTCTGGAATTCTAGAGAGAGCCCAGGTCTGGAAACCCAGAACTAAGAGCCCCTTGCAAGCAGGCAACAAACAACAAGCATTTGTACCAGGTGTGGTGGCGCATGCCTGTGGTCCCAGCTACCTGGGCAGCTGAAGTGGGAGGATCACTTGAGCCCAGGAGTTTGAAGCTGCAGTTAAAAAAAAAAACAAAACAAAAGAAAAAGAAGCATTTGTGCAGCAGCTTACAGCTTACAGACACCGCTGTATGCCTTAGCTCATTCATCTACAGCAATCTCGTGAAGTTATTATTACTTCTGTACTTTCACTGATTAATAATAATATTTCCCATTTGCATCTTGGTTTAGAGTGGCTACAATACTTTCCCACAGGCTGTTTGTCTCATTTCGCTCTAAAAACACTGGGGAATAGAAAGGTATGAGTGAGGGTGGCTGTGAGCACAGTCACTCCTGTTGACACTCATGCCTATAGAAGCACACAGGGGAGAACATATGATTTGCACACCTGTGCTGATGATCTTTAAAAAATGTCTGCTGATGTAGACTTTTTTGCGTACATAAGAGCCCTCTGCTGTTCGGAGTGGGTTTATCCATTACTCAGGTTTTCAGCTCAACAGTATGAAAGTATTGAATCAGACTTTAACTTTTGTAAAATGCTCTTGGGGTAGATATCTTACATAATGACCAAAAATTTTTTTAAATACTTTAACTTGTTATAATTAACAACACCTCCAGCATGGTGGTTCATGCCTATAATCCCAACACTTCGGGAGCCTAAGACAGAAGGATTACTTGAGCCCAGGAGTTTGAGACCAGCCAAGGCAACATATCAAGACCTCCATCTCTACCAAAAATACAAAAATTGGCCAGGTGTGGTGGCACATCCCTGCAGTCCCAGCTACTCGGGAGGCTGAGGTGGGAGGATCAATTCAACCCAGGCAGTCGAGGCTGCAGTGAGCCATGATCACAGCACTGCACTTCAGCCTGGGTGACAGAGCAAGTGAGACTCTGTCTCAAAAAAAAAAAAGAAAACAAAACAAAACAAAACAGAAGAAAACACCACCTTCATATTAGAAAACTCAATATTTTATTTTTGAAGAAAACAACATTGAGAGAAAGAAACAAAGTGGTTTCATATTTGAGACTTAGTTTTTTCCACCACTAACTACCCAAATCTAGATATGGTTCTTGCATCAATGTGGATGTCATTTCATGGCTAAAAGTAGATGAGAAGCATCTAAATCTTTATAATGCCTGTTCATAGGAACACCGTGTAAAATCAGTGATTTAATACTTTTTTTTAAATTTTTTGAGAAACCTTATCATATCTATCAGCGTGTTTACTGGTTCATGGATAGTGTGCCATTTGAGTCAGTCATTACAGGATGGAGATGCATAAAGGGAAAGATAGGGGTAGGTCACTGATGATCTGGAGATTGTGGAAGCAAATGACCAAGGGTGTGCCAGGGGAAGGTGCCAAGACCAGCTCGGTCATGGAGACCCCAACCCAGTGGTGCTGAAGAAATTAAGAAACAGACACAAAGATAGAACACCAAAGTGGGATCAGGGCTAACAGCCTTCCAAGCTGAGAGCCTCAACTAGACTCTGATCCACATATTTATTATCTCTGAGCAGGTAATTATTATTAACAGGTGTTCTGTGTTTTCTCATAGAATAAAGATAAACTAGGCAGGCAGCTGGTGTCTGCTTACTACTGATCAAAAACAAACTAGAAAGCATTCTCCACGAGGGAGCAATGAGGGCAGAGTCACATATCCCGCGTTTAGTTTAACTGGTGTATGATATACATATACAAAGAACACCCTGAGCAGTCTTCTGCTTGGGGAGCCAGCTCAGTTTTCCTTGCTGTCGTTCTCAGCAAACAATATAATCCATCACACACGTTAGGACTTGTCCCAGCAGGGAGGAACAACTTGAAACCAAGAGAATTGTAGATTCTAGAGCTGGGACATAAAGCTTGAAGACCACCCAGCAAGACTGGCTGAGGGTCTTCAGTACCAGCCAAGTTTGGCCTTCACTGGGCTGGCAGTGGGGACCCCAAAAGACTCATTAACTGGACGATGGCACACATGATGAGATCTGAGCTTGAAAGAATGTTCCAGAGGGCATGTGTAGAGCAGCTGATAGAATGAAGGGGCAGGATAAAGAATAGTCATTTAGGGACCTCTTACAACCATCCATGGACACAACAAGGATCTCAGCTAGGGTACTCACCATGAAAAAGAAAAAATAGGCCAGGTGCAGTGGCTCATGCCTGTAATATCAGCACTTTGGGAGGTCGAGGCAGGTAGATCACAAGGTCCAGAGTTCAAGACTATCCTGGCCAAATGGTGAAACCCCATCTCTACTAAAAATACAAAAATTAGCTGGGTGTGGGGGCAGGCACCTGTAATCCCAGCTACTTGGGAGGCTGAGGCAGGAGAATCGTTTGAACCCAGGAGGTGGAAGTTGCAGTGAGCTGAGATCATGCCACTGCACTCCAGCCTAGGCGACAGAGCAACACTCCATCTCAAAAAAAAAAAAAAAAAAAAAAAAGAAAGAAAGAAAGAAAGAAAGAAAGAAAGAAAAAAAGAAAAGAAAAAGAAGAAATTGTGATATTGTGAGTAGGAAGGGAAGAAAAGGAAGATGGTTAAGAAAATGAAAGAAGCACTGCATAAACCACTACACAAAATACCTGAAAAGTAAGTTCCATTGTATCAACAACAAAACAACAAACAAAACAACAGTGTCTCTTGTACTTATGAGGCCTCCCTCTATACACACATGTGCTCACTCCTAGGGCTTGTGGACTTATTCCCCAGGCTCATAGCTGCCCCTAGTCCCAGGATCCATTCCAGCCTTAGGCTGGTCATAATTCAGTATCACCTGGGAGCATTACCACCCCCTAGGAGGACATTTGAAGATGTCTTACAGTACTGTCCCAAAATGATTGATAAAATGACTTAGGGTGGTTACCAGCATTTAGTGGGGGGGAACCAGGGATAGCAAATATCTTGCAATAGTCAGGAAATTGCCACACAATGCGGAATTGAGCTATCTGTAACTCAGCAGACCCACCATTGAGGAACACTGCCACAATCCCCTCTGGATCCCAGTTAGATAAACAGGCTGCTGCTGTGTTCTCTGTGCCCAAGTTTGTGTCTCGGCCGGGGCCTTATATCAATATCCCAGTTGGATAAATAGGCTGCTGCTGTGTTCTCTGTGCCTGAGTTCGTGTCTCAGCCAGGGGTCTTATATCAATGTCCCTGTAGGTCTCGGGTGCTGTCTTGGTTTACTCCCCTTTCTCCTAAGGACCAGAATCCTTCTCTACAGGCTTCCCCGAGGTCTACTGGCTGACTGCCCCCCTGCTGGGCACTCAGTGCTCCCAGTGGCCATCCTCTTCATGCCCATCAGATATGCCAATCCCCATATCATACGCCACAGCCCATCTGCTGGCATTGACCATAGACTACTCTGCCTTACCCTTTGGCATTCTGGCCAGCCACAAATACAGATCCTTCCTTAGCCTCCACCAGAAAACATCTAATCACTGATGACCATTGTAATATTCTGAGAGTGAGTTTTACTTTTCAGTGTTTGCTCCATTTATCTGACTGTGGCACTCCCGTTGCTTAAGCAGAGGATCTCAAGGTTGTGATGTTTTGTGGCATATGCTTGAGAAAGACCATTCTGATAAAGAGAACGAGACACGTGCGAGTATGAGCGGGAAAGGTGGAAATGTGCATGAAATAGTAAAAAGAAAGGCACAGCCAGAGAGAAGGGGAAAACTAGAGGGGAAAAAAGCAGCAATATTCCTACTCTTACATCAGACCATATAGGGTGCTATCGTCTCTCTGCCATGAACTAGCCACGTGAACTTGGACTGGTTACTTCACCTCTCTGGACCTCTCTGGACCTCAGCTTCCTCACCTCTCTGAACCTCAGCTTCCTCACCTCTCTGGACCTCTCTGGACCTCAGCTTCCTCACCTCTCTGGACCTCTCTGGACCTCAGCTTCCTCACCTCTCTGGACCTCAGCTTCCTCATATATAAAACATGGATAATAATGGTGCCTGTCTTATAGAGTTGTTAGGATTGAATATGGCAATTTGATATAAAGCACGTAGGACCGTTCCTGGCACAATGTAATACTAGTGTTGGCTGATGTTAGAATGCCAGAGCTGCCAGCTGGGAGGGGCTTCCAGTTAGAGAAGCGTAGGCACTGTGAGAAAGGTAAGGTTTCCCGGAGGTGGTTTACTTGCGTATTTTTTTCCTTACTAAATATGTCACGCAAAGTAAAGAATACTTTTGTGGGCCAGGCGCGGGGGCTCATGCCTATAATCCCAGCACTTTGGGAGGCCGAGGCAGGCAGATCATGAGGTCAGGAGTTCGAGACCAGCCTGGCCAATATGGTGAAACCCCGACTCTACTAAAGATAAAAAAAATTAGCTGGGCATGGTGGCACACCCCCGTAGTTGCAGCTGAGGCTGAGGCAGGAGAATCGCTTGAACCTGGAAAGTGGAGGTTGCAGTGAGCCGAGATTGCGCCACTGCGTTTGTGTAGTCAGATGTAAGGTTTGCAGGGTAATAATAAAATGAATCCTTAGGGACCCATTACCCAGCTTAGGAACCTGAATATCGCCAAAGCAGTAAAAGCCCTTGCAGGCCCCTCCCTGGTCTCTCTCCCTCCCATCCCCTCAAAGGAAACCCAGTCTGATTTAGATACTCATCATTCCCTTGTTTATTTTGATAGCTTAACTGCATTTGTATATTCCCCACAGATATTGTTTAGTTTGCCTCTTTCTGAACACTGTATAAATAGGATCATACTGTGCATATTTTTCCATGACTTTCTTTCCTCATTCAACTTGGTGTTCTAGAGATTCACGCACGGTGAGGTGTTGGCTCTGGTTCATTCATCTCCATTGTTCTCTAGCACCACACTCCATCATATGAACGTATCTCAAACTTTTACATCTGATCAACGAAACTTTGAATTGATTTCCATATTTCTTCTCTAATAAAAATGCTGCCAGGGGCTGGGCACAGTGGCTCACGCCCGTAATCCTAGCACTTTGGGAGGCCGAGGTGGGTGGATCACGAGGTCAGGAGTTCAAGACCAGCCTGGCCAAGATGGTGAAACCCCATCTCTACTAAAAATGCAAAAAAAAAATAGCCAGGCATGGTGGCGGGCTCCTGTAATCGCAGCTACTTGGGAGGTTGAGGCAGAGAATTGCTTGAACCCAGGAGGCAGAGGATGCGGTGAGCCGAGATCGCACCACTGCACGCCAGCCTGGGCGACAGAGCCAGACACCATCTCAAAAAAAAAAAAAAAAAAAAAAAACTGCTGACTGGACATTCTTGTGTGTGTTGTCTGTTGCAAAAGTGCAAGGGCTTCTGGATGGCAGGGCACCTCCAGCTTTCCTAGGTTCCCTCAAATTGTTTTCTGAAATGAACAAAGGGACTCACTATCCACCTAGTTGCATACACGTGTTCCCTTTATTCATATTTCTTACTCTGGGAACTTCCAAGCAAAGGACTGACCAGATAAAAGCTAAGTTTAAAGAAGATCCATTAGGCAGTGGTGGGGGCATTGGAGGGGAGAAGTCTCTTGCCAGGGAAGATGGACATCGACAGATGCATCCCTAGAGACCCAAGCAAGGCACAGGCTCCTTTTGGGGCAGAACTCCTACAGTTTCTCTTTTGTGTATGAGTTGGTATCCATCAATAGAATCCACAATCTTTGCAATACACCCAACAGTATGCATGCCTTGCAGAAAAGCAAAGTGTTATACACTTGAAAATTCTAACATAGTTCCCTGTGTCTGGTCAAAGTATCTGGCCCCAGGAAAGGTCCTATGCATCTTCAAATCTAATCCTCTTGGTCTGTAAACTGGGCATTATTATCCGCCTCCACAGAACTGTTGTGTGGCTTGGCAGATCATTAATGGTAATGGATGCTTGGTCCCTATAAAACCAGATGTAAATGCTGAGTGCTGCATGTAAGTAGGAACAGGTTATGCATACAGTAGGGTGGAAGCGGGATCCAACGTGACTAGCCTAAATGGTACTTCTCAGGCAATTTGAATCTTACCAAATTTTAAACAGGTTAGTTGTGTATCAAGAGGACATTTCCCAAGCCATCAGTTTCCTTTGCCTCCTGCACAATCTAACAGAACTGCCCCGGGGGAGGAAGGCAGAAATTATGGCACGTTTCTTGAGAGGCCACATCTGCCTGTGCAGGCCTTGCCACCCCCTGCACGAAGGAACATGGCCCCCTGTGCATCAGCTGTCATATCTTGGGTTTCCCAGTATTCAAGAAATGCTTTCTTTTCTTTTCTTCTTTTTTTTTTAAATATAGGGTCTCTCTCTGTTGCCCAGGCTGGAGTGCAGTAGCCCAATTTCAGCTCACTGTGGCCTCTGCCTTCCAGGATCAAGCCATCCTTCCACCCCAGCCTCCCGAGTAGCTGGGACTACAGGCCCACAACATTATGACTAGCTAATTTGCAGAGATGGGGTGTCCCTATATTGCCCAAGCTGATCTTGAACTCCTGGGCTCAAGCAATCTGCCCACTTTAGCCTCCCAAAATGCTGGGATTAAAGGTATGAGCCACCGTGCCTGGTGTAAGAAATGGGTTCACCAAATCCAGACTATTTTGTAATAATTTTTATGGGGGTGTGTGTGTGTATGTGTGTTTTGTTGTTGCTGTTGTTTTGAGTCAGAGTTGTGCTCTGTTGCCCAGGCTGGAGTCCAGTGACACAATCATAGCTCACTGCAACCTCAAACTCCTGGGCTTAAGCAGTTCTCCCATCTCAGCCCCAGGAATAGCTGGGACTACAAGTGTGCACCACCATGCCCAGCTAATTTTAAAATTTTTGCGTAGAGAGGGCGGGGGTCTCACTGTGTTGCCCAGGCTGGTCTTGAACTCCTGGCCTCAAACAATCCTCCTGCCTCAGCCTCCCAAGGCCCTGAGACAACAGGCATGAGCCACCATGCTTGGCTGATTTTTAGTTGTTTAGACTGTCCTGTCCTGAAGGCAACAATCTATTGCAGCTGATTCACGAGGCTCACACTTTTTTTTTTTTTTTTTTTGAGACAGAGTTTTGCTCTTGTTGCCCAAGCTGGAGTGCAGTGGCACGATCTCAGCTCACTGAAACCTCCCCTTCCCAGGTTCAAACAATTCTCCTACCTCACTCTCTCCCGAGTAGCTGGGATTATAGGCATGCACCACCACGCCCAACTAATTTTTGTATTTTTAGT